ACAGTTCTAGCCGATCTTCTAAGACCGCCAATTGAGAGCTCTGCTCGTTCAAGCTAGTTCCAACTATTTCTGTCTTGCTCACGCCTGGTGTGTATTCTTTCTATCTTCGCGCAGATTTCTTCAAGGTCACATTTCTAACAAATTGAAATGGACTGTACTTGTTTTTATTATTATTATAAGCAAGGCGGAAGAACTATTAGGGGAAGATTAATTTGGGTTTAGCAGAAGTAGAGGAACGCGGGAGGCCATTCTAGCTTTAAGGGTAACAATAGAGAAAACAGTAGAAAAAGGAAAGATGGATACTGGATAGATTACTGTTCGAAAATTGTTAAGGATGTGGGATGTTCTAGTTTTAGGGAAATGCGAAGATTAGCTCAGGATAGGAAAGAGTGGAGATGCGTGTCCAACCAGTCTTAGGACTGATGATCTTATAATGATGATGATTTGGGATTCACAACGGCCAGCAATGAATTTATCATTTATGCTTGTAAACTATTGTTTGATTTGACAATTGTTTCTAATTAGTGATTCTGATGTTTAGTTTAGTAACAACTGGCAGGCATGCAAGGGGGTGGAGGGGAGAGGAGAACAGAAACAATTTCTCCTCAAAGGGCTGGTGTAGAAACCAAAATTTTTTTTGAGGTTATTCATTTGCTATTTTTTTGTACGTAATTAGTACCCTATGAGAGGGCGGTACGGAAGGGGTGAGGGGGAAGAATAGGAATTCCAAATAAAATTTGATTTTACTTTATTCATTATGAACCGTATATTACATAGATTAGGTGGAAATAGGTTTTTCTGATTTTAGCCCTTCATGGAGAGCCTTATTATTTCCCTTTGCATCCCCAAAATAGCTAATTGACTTTAAAATTTTTATTTGGGTTCACTCCTCACACGCTAGAGGAAAGCTTTTCCTACACCGTCTCTTTCACTCACCTTTTTCAGTATCCGTTTTCATACGCTGAAACAACCCTTTAGATACATATGAAACTAGTTAGTTTATTAACCAGATTCTGAGTGTCTTTACTATCATCAAGAGGATGATGATGTGTGTATTCATAGACTAGATTTAAGATATGCAAGTGATTCAGTTATGTCAATACGGTGAACAACATTGTAGCTATACGAGGCTATTTAGCGATATTTAAACGTTCGATAATTATTATTCACCGTATGAGCCAATAAAATAAAGCGTTGAAGGCATATTTACAGCAATTCGAAATAAATTTTACGACCAGTTGAAAATGAGATGGTACTGGTAGAAATTCCGGTTGATTTTAATTAAAAGAATAATAACAGTTAAGGCTTCAAATAAATGTCAATATAACAGCGACAGATGCTTTCAGCAATTGCTACTAATTGGATATATTTGAATACTTGCTCGTAGTTACACATATTTATATGTATAATACTTTAGTTTGTTGTTTATTCGATTAATGATAGCAGTTGTAAAGTGGGCTATAAATTGCAAAAATTTGGGCTGGGAATTGCAAAAATCTGCCGATGAAAAGTTTAATAAATAATAATAACACCTACTAAACACTGAACTTTCAATAGTGAAGCTAGTAAGCAAAAGCAACGAATATAAATATAATATAAAGATATTCAGAAACGTACTGCATTACTAACTTAGTGTTAATTGTGCAACAAGTTGAAAAAGTGATAGATTTTAGTACGCGTGAAATTAGGCATGATTAGAAGCTAATGGCGCGTTCACGCGAGAACGAATTGAAAGTTTGTCGCTCCAGCCAAAGGCGGGTGCGATAACCAAACTAGCTCTTACATAAAATCACCATAAGATTGACAATACATGACCGCTTGTATAAAAGTACTCATCAGCTCCATACACTGCTTTTAGTTAGTTATTCTTTCCAGTTCTTTGACGTGACAACGTCTTATAATTCGATGGAGCCGGCTGCACGCACGAAAAAACATGACTCATGCGGCGTTACCTCGCTCTGAGGCGTTCCATTTAAGGCTTGAAGTGCAAGCGAGAGCGCGGAACGAGCGACAAAGAGGCACAATCGGCCTCCGCGTTCGGCAGCGTTCGACATCTGTCTCTCTCCTACTTGAGTGAGCGATGCGTCCGCGTGGACAGCTGCTATACAATAATACATTTCCATTTACCTCCTTCTCTATATCCATACAAAATATCTATCAAACAAATAAAATTAAAATTTTCTTTTGAAAAATGAAACCATTCCATCAGTATTTTCTTATGACGTTGTCACGTTCAACTATCGTCAGTAAACCGACTTTACAGACAACCGATTTATTTTTTTTAAATTTATTAAAATATTAAGGTAGAAACCTATTATGTAATGCTTAACAAATTAATTTAGGAATCTGTATGCGAAAGGGTGAAATAGGAGACTATAAATTTGAAAAAGTGGCTGAGCAGTAGAGATATAAAACTGGAGATAGCAGAGATGAATCGCTTTTAACAAAAAAAAGTATTTCTATGCTCGCGAATCATTAATTTAGAATTTTCGAAAGATACTGTTAAAGGTGTATGTCTGTAGTAGCACAGCGTTGTTCTAGTGCGAAAGCGAAACGTGGACGGTGGGCGCGGCGGAAAAGAAAAGATTAGAAGCGTTTGAAATGTCGTGTTACATGCAAATGATGGGGCTACCATAGATAGAGAAGGTTAGAAATGAGGAGATATTAGAAAGAGAGGGCGCTATGGATGTTAATAAAATATAGGAGAGGTAGGTTAGTAGGACACCTCAGTCTTGAAGGTCTAATCAGAGACACATTAGAGTCTAAAACAGGAGTTAAAAAGAGGAAAGGTAAATCTAGATCAGATTAGTGTTCACAAATAGTGCGTGTCTAATCAGGTTTTGGGTTAACCACCCTACAATGATGTTGCTGTGCGGATATGAGCTAAGATTTGTAGGGCTAGATATCTCAAGTATGTAAGTCATACCGGTAGTTACACTACCTACCTAGAGATAAATTTAAAAAGCGTCTATAAAACCAACTTTTCGCATAAGGACTTTTAAAAACTGAAGTTTTCCACTTACAAGATCCTAAATTTTTATGTACTTCTGTACGTCTCTTCTGCAGATACCTGCTTGGATTTTTAGGTCGCAAGTTCATTTAGTTTCTAAAGTCCAATTTATCAAATTGAACGCATAACATGGTTTTTCACTTTCATCATGTCTAGCGGAACATTATTGTCAATCTACGTTTTCAACTTAGAAGGGAAGAAAAGAAAAGTGCTTGGTATAAATAACATACACACATAAACAGAAATTCATACGTATATGTACGTATAAAAACAAATAAATTGCTTTCGGTTCGCCCCAATCGAATGCCAAGAAGTAGAACAACGAAGTTTTAAAAAGATATTT